TATTAAAAAAAAATGTTTACTGCCATATGAGCATGTTGTATGCAAAATTGAAAAAAAAGTACATCTACTATATATGGTTGTTTGTCTTGATACCTCAAAACTCATTTAATTTAATTGACCTGTCATAAAATCCTTGAAGGGAACTTGGTAACTTTACTCCGAAATCTTAATCTTGAGGGATGTGATGATGCTTTGAAGTTAAATTGAATTTATGAATTGAATGAGCTGCTTTGGCAAGCCGTAGGATTTCTATAAATAACACCGCAGGCCGTGAGCCTGAGAAAGAGAGGGGGGGGGTCTGAATGGATGTGATGACGTCTGTAGACGTCTGCATCAGAGAATAGAAGCAGCATCATCCGTTGCCATGGCAGCAGTGACGCAGAGGCAGGTGGATCGCGCGGGTGAGGATGTGCAGCGCTGCAGCGGATGCTCCGCGAGTGGGTGGAAGAACACAACCATTTCCAGCATTTTTAGCTTTAGAAATTACAGCTTACAAAAGCAGGAGGAGAAAATAAGAACGACCACAGACAGTTATTACACAGAAAGCTATTACACTTTGTTCCCCAGTATGATGCTGCAGTTCTGTACATAAACTGCTAGATTTGTGTTATTAATATCCAGATCATGTAATATATTAGTGAATTTCCATTTATTTATTTACTTTCATTATTATTCATTTGACCTAACTGATAATTTATTTGATGGCACACCATATATATGTATATATATTATATACATATTGTATGTTATGTATATGCTGTAAATGATTTTTGTAAATAAAACCGTAACATAAAACATTATTGGAGTGTGATTTACAAGAAAACACTATTTTAGTATTTTATTCTTTCTACTTAATCATGTTTAATTCAGTGTGTTACTTGCTATTCCTTTGTGAAATGTACTATTTCTAAGTGAAAATTACACAATTTACATTTTAATTATTTATACAATTACAATTTTCTCTCTCTCTCTCTCGCTATATATATAGGCTATATATATATATAATTCAGTTATTTATTTTTCATTTAGCAGACTAATTCTTGACTGCTAAATGGATAAATGTCTTCAAAAAATAGCCTATTCATTAAAATTCTTCTCAAATTTCCAGTTTTTTTACAGTTGCGCTGTAAAAATTATTTTTCAAAAGCTGTAAATGAAACAAAGATTATTGGAGTATGTCAAAAATTCACATTTTTCTTTGTCAATTTCTGCGTGAAAATGATTTCTACGCCATTTTTGTTTATGACAATTTAAAGATCCTAATAAATGAAGCACTTTATTTTGTTGGCAGCGTCTTCAGTATTTTGTCAGTGAATCAGACTGAAGGTGTCTGTCTCCGTGTTAAGCGTGACTCATGAAGGAACACTGCTAATGAACTATAAACACCACAATGGGAAGTCCTTCTTTCCTCAGAGACCAGCTCAAGCAAACAGGTTTGAACCAGATCTCAGCGATGGGTGTTACCACACAAGTCAAAACCACCAAACACTCCTCAGGAAACCAGGTCCATGCATGCTTGATTGATTTTTGTGTAGGTAAAGATCACTTAGAAGGTCAAAGATTAAACATGGCAATCTTTAAGAACCACATTAATGTGGCATTTCTGTTTATTTGATGCCAACATAAAGTGCATGTTAAGCTTCAATTATTAAGATATAAAATAAATGTACAACATACTGTACATATATACAGTGTGTGTGTGTGTGTGTGTGTGTGTGTGTGTGTATATATATATATATTCACACTGTAGATCTTAGACAAGAACAAATGAAAAAAATGCATTTTCACTTAGAAATGTCTAGTAAATTTCACAAATAATTAAAGAATCAGCAAGTAATAGCAGTTCTGAAGTAGAAAAAAAATATATTGTTGTATTATATTGTACTCCTATAAAATTCGTTAAGTTAAAAAAAAAACAGTGTAATTGTTAATAAACATTGAGAATTTGAGAAGAATTTCTTGATTTCTGATTTTTTTTATATATGTAAAATATATATTTAAGTACAGACAGACTTTTTCAGTCATTGAATTGAGAGGTAGATATAAACAAATTATAAATAAAGAAGAAAATACAGGTTTTCAAGGATTTGTATAAAGCGATGATATTTTTATATCGACATTGCTAGTATTTGTTAATTAAACTCAGCCGGAGCGGCAGGTGGCGCTGTTGTCTAGCGGTGGCGCTGATCTCAGTTCAGGACAGCGAGAGGAAGAGCTGAACACGGTGTGTGTTTATATCAGCTTGTGAAGCGCTCGTCTGATGATCGCTGTTCTGTTCTTGATCGAAACTCCGATTCCTCAGCGATGGAGCAGAAGAAGACGGTTATCGTGACAGGTAAACTGATGAAGGCGTTGATGCGGAAAATGGGATGTTTTGACGCCTCGTGGGATTGTTGTCTCAGTTTTAAGAGTTTTTCTAGTGTCCGCTTCTGTGACTGATATTATCAGAATCAACTCCAAATGATCATCATTACAACTGAAAGTCGTTTGGCACTAAATGCAAAACTAAAATGCATAAAACACTTATTTATAGTTCTATCACTACCCAAACTATCGGGAAGTACCACGGTGTTTTGTTATTTTATTCATTCAGTTAATTTAATTTCCTTGTCTGTGCATGTCGTTTTGTTCTCATTGTATATATAATTACAATGATTTGAGTGTTTTTGAGTATTTACTAATAACATAACTTTATTACAGTTTTTGTATTTACGTCTACCATACATATTTTTGACTGTTTGGATATTTTCTATAGTGTGATGTTCTTTGAAGAATTTTGGAGTCAGTTTTATTTTTAGTATTACTTTTATACTGCTATGGTTTTTAAGCCATATTTTGAATTTTGTTAAAACATATTGTTTTTAATATATATTTTTAGGTACATTTTTAATGTGCCTTTTTCGTTCTTATCCGTTTTTGCTGTTGGTTTAGGTTTAATTTATTTTTATTTCAGGTTTATTTTTAGTTTAGGTTTATTTTTTATTTATTTTATTTTTAGTTTTTATTTATTTTAGTACTTGTTTCAGTTACTTGTCACAGAATCATTTCCGATTTTTATTTTATTTCAGCTCAGTTTCAGTTAACAAAAATGTCAATAGCAAAAACAACAACAACAATAACCCTATTTGGAGTATATGAAAATGTATTCAGTACCATGATATCATATCTATACCATATTTACACACACCGTAATATTATCATGCATCATGATATTACCATCTGATAATTACACATTTTAATTAAATATTATTGTCATGCAATCCCTCCCTAATTTAGCTGCTAAAAAGGTGTTCTCGAGAAGTAAATACTGGAGTTTTTGCTTGACTCTGGGTTCTGTGTGTGCACTGTTCAGGTCACTGATGGCAGCATCTCATCTGAAACCCATTACATCCCGTTTAAAGCAGGATCAGATCTTAGACTCTGGATTGCAGAGTTTAGATCTGGCTGACTTCAGCGTCCTGAAAGCCTGTTGAGTTTAAAGTGTGTAACCGCTATAAAACAGATAAGTTGAGCCTGATGATAACGTCCAGTCAGCTGAAGCTGAGGGGTCTCCAGTCACTCTGAAGGGGGTTTTAGGTGACAATGATTATTGCATTTTATTTATCATACGACTACTTACTACATAAATAAAGAAATACATGGACATGAAATATTAATCTGAGTTGAAATCATCTTATGTGAGAAGAAAGTGAGAGTGATACAAGAGACTGATCAATTATTCAGTTCAGTGTCATTATGTAAAATGCTTGACATTACATTGCATTGCTATGATTGTGTTTCTGTAGGCTTTGAGCCGTTCGGTGAACACGCTGTCAATGCCAGCTGGGTGGCAGTACAGGTATGATACTCAGATTCACACTGCGAGGAAATGAGCAGAGCACATCAACTATGAGCTGTACTCGCTGTTTGTTCACATGACTTAACATAAGCATGTCCTCTTGTCAGGAGCTGGAGAAACTGGGTTTGGGTCACGATATAAACCTTCACGTTGCTGAAGTTCCCGTGGAGTATCAGGCGGTCCAGAGTCTTCTGCCGTCTCTATGGAAACAGCAGCTTCCTCAAGTAGCGTAACGATCTCATGTTTGTGTTGAGTTTTATTAGTTAGTGATGCTAAATGTCTACAGAGTGTTGTATTATAAAAGTAAGTTTTTTATATATATATATATATATATATGATCAATTATTCTGTGTTTGCTGTGTTTATTGTGCTCTGTACTAGTGTATGTATGTTATGTAGAAATAAAAATAATATGCTCAAAAGTATTATATTGTATATATAATTAATACTGGATTATTTAATAATATTAATTCTTGGCCTGTGTACACATGTAGTCAAATTAAAATTGTATTTATTGTACATTAGTTTTTTATATATGATGAATTGCATCTAATTATTTTAATCAAAATGTATCATCATAATACACTGGCAAACAAAGTTTGGAATAAATAAACTTTTAAATGTTTTTGAAAGAAGTCTCTTTTGATCACCAAGGCTGCATGTATTTGATCAAAATACAGTAAAAACAGTAATATTGTGAAATGTTATTTTAATGTAAACTAACTGATTTCTTGGGAATATGTGTTTCTGTGATGCGCAGCTGAATTTTCAGCATCATCACTCCAGTCTTCAGTGTCACATGATCTTCAGAAATCATTCTAATATGCTGCTTTGCTGCTCAAGAAACATTTCTGATTATTATCAATGTTGGAAACAATTGTGCTGCTTCATATTTTTGTGGGAAAATATATAATCAAATAGAAAACAGTTTTTTTAAATTGTAATAATATTAAGCAATATTACTATTTTTACTGTATTTTTCAACAAAAAATGCAGCCTTGGTGAGCAGAAGAGACTTTATTAAAAACATTTACAAATCTTTTAGTCACCTGTATTATAGCAGTGTTAATGACTCATCTTTATATTTTAGGAATACGTTTCATCAATATATATATATTTTTTTAACTCCTATTTTTTCGTTCTGGTTTTTTTTTTTTTTTTTTTTTTTCCAAAGTTAGTGGTCCATGTTGGAGTGTCCGGGATGGCCACGACAGTAACGCTTGAACAGTGTGGTCATAACCAGGGTTACATGCGCCTGGATAACTGCAGCTTCTGTCCGGAGTCACGCTGCTGCATGGAGGGAGGACCGGACTGCATTCAGTCTGTCATAGACATGGACGCCGTCTGCAAGAGAGTCAACTCCTCCGGGCTCGGCGTCTCTGTGTCTGTGTCAAAGGATGCCGGCAGGTAAAATGCTCTTCTTGCTTGTTTGCTTACACCTTGCAGAATCTACAAAATAAATAATGAAAGAACTGAATAATGAAATAAAAAGTGCATGTTGTTTTTTGTTGGGTACTGCGATGAATATGCTGTTTCACATAACAGATGTTTGCATATATATGACCCTGGAGCACAAAAGCAGTCTTAAGTCGCTGGGGTATATTTGTAGCAATAGCCAACAATACATTGTATGGGTCAAAATTATCGATTTTTCTTTTATGCCAAAAATCATTAGGCTATTAAGTAAAGATCATGTTCCATGAAGATATTTTGTACATTTTCTACCGTAAATATATCAAAACTTAATTTTTGATTAGTAATATGCATTGCTAAGAACTTCATTTGAACAACTTTAAAGGTGATTTTCTCAATATTTAGATTTTTTTGCACCCTCAGATTCCAGATTTTCAAATAGTTGTATCTCAGCCAAATATTGTCCTATCATAACAAACCATACATCAATCGAAATCTTATTTCAGCTTTCAGGTGATGTATAAATCTCAAATTTTAAAAAATTGACCCTTATGACTGGTTTTGTGCTCCAGGGTCACATATAGCCCAAAGGTTGTATTAGAGTGGCTAATGAGAATTTATTGAATGACCAAAATGTCAAAATACTTTTAAAAGTAATGCTTTACAATATTGCATCACTCCCTAAAAAAGTAACTTATTGCATTACTTAGTTACTTTTTATGGAAAGTCATGTGTTACATTACTTTCGCTTTGCTTTTTCTCGTCTGGGATGGACTTGCTTGTTTGTTTGTTTGTAATATAAAAAAGTTCTATTTTACAGATAATAAATACATCAAACATCAACACTTCAGCAATATAAAAAAGAAACCCAAATGTTATGTCTATCTAAAGTAATTGTTGCTTGTTAGTATGGTTGAATTGCATCAACGAAGGTCAGCAGCAAAGACACGGTTAATAAACTGGGATTGAATACATAAGGATATTTGTGTTAACATGCAGGTTTGCATCATATTCTGATTTAGTATTTCACTGTTTTATTCATTTTGAGAAATAGTTGTGTGAATGAGATGATTAAATGCATGTTGACATTTAGTCTAGAACTACAGTAATAATCAAGTTCACACAGCGCACACAATGCCTCTGCACTTACTCCTGATTTTTGTCAATATGCGCACAGGAGAGCAGTCAGTCAATGCATGGGAAAGCAAAGTACTGGCATTACTTATTTACTAGAACTAGTTACTAGTAATCTGATTATGTAACTTGCGTTACTTGTAATGCATTACCCCCAACACTGCATGCGACTGGTTTTATTATCAGGACAGACTTATTTTGTAAGACTTTGTACATTTTTTAGTTGAATGTATTCCTTATCCTCTTTCCGCAGGTATCTGTGTGACTACACCTACTACAAGTCTCTGTTTCTGGGCGAGGGCAGGTCTGCGTTTGTGCACGTTCCTCCTCTAGGGAAGCCCTACAGCGCGGAGCAGCTCGCTCGGGCCCTCAGGGCCGTCATCCTGGAGATGCTTGAACTGATGGAGCACAACAAGGGAAAGAAACACTGTCTGCACGACCAATGAGAGCACAGGCCGAGTCTCGTACGCACATATGGAGCGTCGCTTTGGATTCAAGAGTTCATGCACATTTGAAGACATCAGTGTCTTAACTTGTGTGCTGCATACTAGGATCAGTCAGCTGGTTTGAGATGCTAAACTCAATCCTACGGCTGCGTTCAAATAGTCAAGAAAGCACTTTAATGGGGTGTACTTGAAACATGCAGAGATTTGGTATTATGCATAAAAAAGACTTGGAAGTGATGTGAAAACACTACGTATACATGGAGCTCTTTAAACCGTATTTCAAAAATGATTTTTTTTTTAAACAGTCAAGGCAGAATTTCTAAAATCATTATTCACCAGATTAAGTATGTCTGTAGTATAAAATCATTTAAACCAGGGTTATTATAATTAATAAAAATTTGAATGATGCATTTTTCTCACCATGAAAATAGCCGTAGAATCTGGCATGGCATTAAACACAAACAAAACTAACATTTAAATGAATTAAACAGTTTGTTACTTGAAATGAAATAAACGTTAACTGGGAAAAAATAATAATAATATAAATATCCATCTAGTAATTTTGAATTAGTTTAACTTGTTGCAGTAAAAGAACTAAAACTGTAATACGAATTCATCAAAAATATATAGACACATACAAATACACAACTAAATTACTACAGCTTTAACTAAAATAAAAATGGAAAAAATAATAAAATCAAAACTCATTACAACTATTAAAAAACTATATTGTCATATTTAAAAAATATATGAAAATGGCTAAAATTGGCTAAATTACTAAAACTAACTAAAATAAACATGTCAATAATAAAAACAAAACTCATTCAAACTATTAAAAACTATTGACATATTTAAAAAAAAAAAATATATATATATATATATATATATATATGAAAGTGGGTAAATTACTAACTGAAATTAAAATGAAAATGGACAAAATATTAAAATTAAAACTAATTCAAAATATTCATAAAAACTAAATTACTGAAATTTTAACTAAAGTAAAAAAAAAAAAAAAACTATATGGACATTAAAGAATATTTAAAAAATAAAACATCTAAAAAAACTAAAACTTTTAACTAAAATGAAAATGGAAAAATATACAAAAAACTAATAAAAAATATTAATTAAAACTGTAATAGTATCTTAATGATAGTAAAATAATACTGTTTCGAATATGACTTTATCATCTGCAGCTTTCAATTATACCCCAAACACACACTGGAGAAGAAAGTATACGCATTATTACAGTTTATTTTCTCAAGTGCAAAGGGAGATATTGTAGAGGAGACCTACAATTATGACAAAATAAAAGCTATGATCTGCCTGCTGGACAGTGATATAAAAGATAATAACCATGCACGTCTGTCTGGTTATTAAAGTGCCAATGTGAGTACACAGGCTTTAGGATATAAGCATCAAACCTAAATATGTTTTTCCTCATTTCAAGCCATTTATGTACAGGGTCCCACATAAAACATAAAGACACCTGAACCCGATGCCTTTTGAGTAATTTAAGGACTAATTCTATCAGCACTGTTAAGACAACAACGGTTTGGTTTTTATTTTTGTGAATTATATGAAATGTGAAATCGTGAGATGATTGTAAGATGATGTTTGTCTTCTCTCAGTGGACGTTACTCAGAGTTACATTTCTTTCATACTCTTTGCAAAATGCTGGATATTATATATTATATTACACCATAATTTGTCAGTCCATTATATGATATTATATGCATATGACTTGGTTTGAATTTTCTTTAGCTTGTTTTTCTACAGTTTTTACTGGAATCTGTTATCGATCACAAACACAGTGGACCAAACTGATTATGCTGTGAATCTAATTTTTTTTAATGTTGCCTAAAACACTGTTATCTTCAGCATTTCTTGATCCATTTTATTGTATTAAATGTTCTGACATCTATTACAGTGGTGATTATTATGTATGCATATTATGCATTCCCACATTTGTGTGGACGCTGTTGTTCTTCCTCTTTATGTTGTGTTTCCTTATTTGCCACAATTTTTTTGTTTACAAATTTGTAGCTCTCAATAAATGATTTCTGCCTTATTTAAGTTTATTTATTCCAAAATTTATAAATTAAAATTATATATATATATATATACACACACATTCATAATTAAATTATACAAATAATATTTCTAATTAATTTATAATCTATATCATATATAATATAAATAACTAAGATTTATAAATTATCTAAATTTATAATTACAGTAAATTTTAATACAGAAAAGTAAGATCATTAGAGGAAACATGTTTTTCATTTTCTGATTAAATTCTGAGTAAAGTTGCATTAGCAATTTTATTATCAGCATATTATATTATTAATATATTAATCATCTTATATGTGTCTACAATGAAAATCTGTATCTTCAGATGCAGTAAGAGATCATAATACTTCAGGTTTTTCACTGTTTTTATTCACCATTTGCTGTCCATTGAAGTCAGATATATAAAAATTACACATTCTATAAACATAAATGGGGTCTTGAAATCATAATGTTAAAATGATACAACAGTTTTAGATGGAGTGGATCATGTCACTTTTTAGCACACTACCTGTTCACATGGTAGCTTATATTATATGTGACCTTGAACCACAAAACCAGTCATAAGGGTCAGTTTTTTTACATTAAGATTTATACATCATATGAAAGCTTTCCATAGCTTTTCCAAAGCTTTCCATCCAATAAATAAGCTTTCCATTGATGTATGGTCTGTTAGGATAGGACAATATTTGACTGAGAAACAAATATTTGAAAATCTGGAATCAGGGTGCAGAATTTTATTTTTTTTTATTTTTTTGAGAAAATCGCCTTTAAAGTTGTCCAAATGAAGTTCTTAGCAATGCATATTACTAATCAAAAATTAGGTTTTGATATATTTACAGTAGGAAATTTACTAAATATCTTGATGGAACATGATCTTTATTTAATATCCTAATGATTTTTGGCATAAAAGAAAAATCTATAATTTTGACCCATACAATGTATTGTTGGCTATTGCTACAAATATACCCCAGCGACTTAACACTGCTTTTGTGCTCCAGGGTCATATATTCCCTAGTCTCAGCCTCAGATGTCTCGCCCACGGACCGTTGGCTGAACGTCTGATGCACATGGCACACAAAAGTGGAAACACTTCAGGAGTTTTGAAGTCGTCATCGGATTGGTTGAATTCTACAGGCTTTCCGGGAGACGTGTGTGTCGCGTTCTTTAACGTTCCGCCTGGAAACAGTATGTGAAATATTTCAAGTTCGCGGCATAGAATCTTTAAAAAACGTCCGAGAGTTTTACTGAGTTTTACGTCCGAGAGTCTGTTATTGTGGCGACATTTCCACGCCCCGAAGCGTGACGCTGAAACGAAACGAACTGTGATTGGTTGTTTGACATGTCAGAGTTGGGCGGGCCTTGGCCAATGAAAGCTGCCATGAATTCCAGACCTTCAGCTGTCAGTCTGAAGGTCTGGCTACACGAGACTACATATTCCGTGCATCTCAATGTTCATCCTAAATAGTATGTGAGATTAGAATAAGTGTGTCCCAAAGCATAGTATGTTGAAAAGAGTATGCCAAAAGTCCCCGGATGGTCTACTATTTCAGGTCGATTGTTGAAGTGTGGATCTGTGCACACTCTAATGGCTAATACTGCCCACAATCCATTGCGCTTTGTTGAAGGATTCTGTCCAGAACTACAAACACGAATAAAACGCGTTAAAAACTACAAACACCAGCACAGATTAGCTCTA